TCTCAAGGTTGTATTCGCCGGGAATATTGCTGATGCAAGGGAAAGAGAGAAAGAAAGAAGGAAAGAAAGAAATGAAGAAGAAAGAAAAAGAGGAAGAAAGAAGAAGAAAGAAAAATAATAATAATAAGAAGAAAGAAGAAGAAGAAAGAAGAAGAAGAATAAGAAGAAAGAAGAAGAAAGAAAAGAAGAAGAAGAAGAAAGAAGAAGAAAGAAAAGAAGAAGAAGAAGAAAGAAGAAGAAGAAGAAGAAGAAAGAAGAAGAAAGAAAAGAAGAAGAAGAAGAAGAGAAAGAGAAAAAGAGAAAGAAAAAAATAATCATAAGAAAAAGAAAATGAAGGAAAAGAAGAGAAAGAAAAAATAATAAAGAAGAAAAATGAAAAAGAAGAGGAGAAAAAAACGCAAGAGTTGCAACAGGGATCGCCCTGGAGGCAACAAGGGTGTCCCCCTAACGAGGCTTCCCATTAAGATATAAAAATCGTATTGGAGGAAAGTTACTTGGTTACAAAATAAGCAAAGTTAGGGTATCCGCCTCCCTATCATTATCATTTATGTTATTATCATTATTATTTTCATTATCATTATCATTTTTTATGCCGATGGTAATAATAATAATATTGCACCTAATATTATCATCATTTTATTTTATAATAATTTTAAACATCATTATCACCAGCAAAATTATAATCATCATCATCATCATCATCACCATCATTAGCATTATTATTAACATTACCAAAAACACTATCAATATGACAATAACAACGGTAAACATTAAAAAAAGACGGAAATGAAGAATAACAAAGAGAAGAAAAGAAACAAAAAGAAAACGGAAATAAAAATAAATAAATAAAAGATAAAAAAAAATGGCGCCGCACTGTTTCGAATAAAAAAGAAAGAGAAAACAAGAATAAAAAAAGGAAAACTTATATAACGAACCTTAACCAGAAAAAAAAATACTCATACAACGAGCCTAACTAACTAAGAAAAAAGAAAAATTACGAAAGAAAAAGAAAAAAGACAGAAAAAAAACTAATACTCATATAACGAGCCTCACTAACCAAGAAAAAAGAATAATAACGAAACGAAAAAAAAAAATAATAATAAATAAATAAATAAATAAAAAATAACAAATAAACTGTCTTGCCGAGCGCCGGAAGAGAAGAAAAGACGCCGTTAGATGTTCTTGTTTGTCTTTGTTTTTTCCCCATCACTAATGAAAAACTCAAATCAAACACCAAAACACATTTTACAAATTTAGAAGAAGGAAACAAAAAAAGAGAGAAAAAAGAAGGAAAGAAAAGAATAAGGAAATAAAATAAAATGAAATAAAATAAAGAGGCAAAAAAAAAAAAAAAAAAATATATATATATATGTATATACATACATATATATATATATATATATATATATATATATATATATATATATATATATATATACATATATATACATATATATACATATATATACATATATATACATATATATACATATATATACATATATATACATATATATACATATATATATATATATACATATATATACATATATATACATATATATACATATATATACATATATATACATATATATACATATATATACATATATATACATATATATACATATATATACATATATATATATATATATATATATACATATATATACATATATATATATATATATATATATATATATATATATATATATATATATATATATATATATATATGTATATATATATATATATATATATATATATATATATATATATATATATATATATTATATATATATATATATATATATATATATATATATACATATATACATATATATATATATATATATATATATATATATATATATATATATATATATATATATATATTAACAATTAAAAAAAATAATAATAAATACGTAACACGTCGCGTGCATTACGATATAAGAGATATTAATGCAAATCACAAATAAGCAAATGACAAGTCACGGAAGTTAAGATGCAAGAACAAGAACAAGAACAAAAACAAGACGATAAAGCAGAATAGGTAGAATAATTCGAAGAATTGGGAGAAAACGAAGAATAAAAAGAAGAAAAGGGAAAACAAGAAGAAAAAGAAGACGAAGAAGAAAAAGAAGACGAAGAAGAAGAAGCAAATTAATTCAAAGAAGAGGAAGAAAAGACAAGAAAAACAATAATAAGAAAGAAAACAAAAGAGAAAAAAAAACACAAGAGACCATTTCCCAAACAGAGGAAGACTCCAGACCATTCATCTTTAGGAGACCTCTTTAAACTTGTAAAACTGTTATTCCACTTCAGCAAAACGAGAGGGACCGCCGCGGCTGCGATGAATGGGGACGAACACACCAGATGTGCGTGTGCGTGTGTACGTGTACATGTGCGTGTGCATGCGCGTGCGTGCGTGGGTGTGCATGTACGTTTTTTTTTAGTGTTTTTTATTGGCATGTGGGTATGTCCACAGGAAACAGGACACTCAGCTCTCGAAAACATATGTATAGACAATAAAACAAGACACATAGACACAGATGCAGACACACAAAAAAACAGACAAAGATATACACTCACAACCCCATCCCTATCACTCCCCCCAACCCCATCCCCTCACCCCCCTCCCAACCAACCCCCTCCCCCAACCCTTACCCCCATCACCCCTCCCAACACCCCCACCATACAAACACACGTATTTGCACAGAAAGGGACCCGGAGGAGGCCGGCTAAAAGGCTCACATCCGGCCGCAGATACGACGAGGGCGTGCGCAGCGGCCTCGGGGGCTGATCGTCCGCTGCCCGTTTTTTGGGATCGTAATGGAATCGACGGCGCTGGTCTCTTCTGCACAGGCGAACATACTTACGTGCATAGATAACAGTCTGCACTTCTAGGCACGGTGCGGGGAGTGTGTATATATGTATATGTATACACGTATGTGTATGTATATGTATAGATATATAAATAAGTATACATATAATTAAATAAATAAATATGTATGTCTATGTGTGTGTGTGTGTGTGTGTGTGTGTGTGTGTGTGTGTGTGTGTGTGTGTGTGCGCGCGCGTGTGTAAGCGTAAGTGAATTACGTAAGCGCACCCATTCACATAGAGAAATGGCGTCATAAGCGGCCTTCTCCCCCGATGCACAAGATGATCCTCAAGACCCCTCCATTTCCCTCTTTTTCGTCTCGTCTTTGTCGTCGACGCCAACGCCTCTCTCTTTCTATCTCTATCTCTATCTCTTTCTTCATAAAATTCTCTTTCTCTGTTCCCCCTTTTCTCTCTCTCTCTCTCTCTCTCTCTCTCTCTCTCTCTCTCTCTCTCTCTCTCTCTCTCTCTCTCTTTTCATTTCACAGTAAAAAAAAAAAAAATCGGTAACAACAAAAAACAACATACGTTCTCACAAAACAAACTGCAAATCAACCCTCAAAAAAATAGAATGAACACCAACAACAATAACCAAAACAACAACACAGGCCTTCCACCATCTCCCCGACGCCTTGTTTCCCCCCCGTGACACCTCCCCCCCCCCTAATCACCTGTTGACCGTCTGTTGACCGTCTGTTGACCGCCGCCAGCCGCCTCGAATCCCTGTCAACAGACGGATTGCCTTTCATCCTCGGTCTCCCCCCCCCCCCCTCCCCCTCGCCCCCCGTCCCCTGCCCAGTGCATCAACGCCAAAAGATGAATGAGTGGACGTGTGTGTGTGTGTGTGTGTGTGTGTGTGTGTGTGTGTGTGTGTGTGTGTGTGTGTGTGTGTGTGTGTGAGAGAGAGAGAGAGAGAGAGAGAGAGAGAGAGAGAGAGAGAGAGAGAGAGAGAGAGAGAGAGAGAGAGAGAGAGAGAGAGAGGGAGAGAGAGAGAGAGATGGTTCGAGGGATGCTGAGCCGCAGAAGGGGGTTAGTTGTCGTTAATCCCCTCCTCTATTCTTCCCTCGGTCTGTCTGTCTCTATCATTGAATTATTCACTAAGTCGCGTTCTCATTCTCTCTCTCTCTCTCTCTCTCTCTCTCTCTCTCTCTCTCTCTCTCACACACACACACACATACAATCTCTCTCTCTCTCTCTCTCTCTCTCTCTCTCTCTCTCTCTCTCACACACACACACACAATCTCTCTCTCTCTCTCTCTCTCTCTCTCTCTCTCTCTCTCTCACACACACACAATCTCTCTCTCTCTCTCTCTCTCTCTCTCTCTCTCTCCTCTCTCTCTCTCTCTCTCTCTCTCTCTCTCTCACACAATCCTCCCTCCCACCCTTTCCCCTCCCCTTTCCCTTCCCCTCCTCCTTCCTCCTTATCCACAACCCACAACCCGCAACCAACACTCCAACACACCAATCAAAAAAAATAATAATAATAAAAAATAAATAAAACCACAAAAAAAAACCAACCACCTCAGTCAACCACAACCACAACGCCCCTCCCCCTCCCCCCTCTCCCCAACCAAGCCCAAGCCCACACCCCCACAACCCCCACACCCCCCCACTTACCTTGACCTCGGGAGGAACATGGAGCCATCGATGAAGACGGAGCCGGAGAGCAGGATGTACCAGCACGTGGCCAGCTCCCCGCGGCTGCAAAGGGACAAGGGAAGCGATTAATATCCAGTTTCACTTAAAAGTTTCCCCAGCTGATAGGGAAACTGATATTTATACTTGTGAAGGGTAGACATATTTGAACATTTTAACATCCATTTTATTAATACTAAGACTTTTTCTTAAAGAGCCAAATTAATATTTTTGAATGTTCCTGTTAGGAATAAAAAAATAATAATAACTACGACTGAACAAAGAGCGGAATCAAAATAACAAAGAAAAGAGAGAGAGAGAGAGAGAGAGAGAGAGAGAGAGAGAGAGAGAGAGAGAGAGAGAGAGAGAGAGAGAGAGAGAGAGAGAGAGAGGAGAGAGAGAGAGAGAGAGAGAGAGAGAGAGAGAGAGAGAGAGAGAGAGAGAGAGAGAGAGAGAGAGAGAGAGAGAGAGAGAGGAGAGAGAGAGGAGATGAGGAGAGAGAGAGAGAGAGGAGATGAGAAGAGAGAGGAAAGAGGAAAGAGGAGAAAAGAGAGAAGAGATGAGAAACAAACAGGAATAAACATACAGACACACAAATACTACACTAAATATATAAACACACACACACAAAAAAAAAAATTAGACAGCACAAACAATTTCCACCGTCTGGCAAATTTCTGATAACGACAAGTGTTTCAATCTCTCTAACTGTTTCACTGACCCCCCCGCCCCCTTCAACATGCGTCCAGTCCGAACCACAACTCGAACCTTCAAGCGAACACGTGCTATTCTTTTAATAGTTTTCGAAAAAGCTCTTAAAAAAGGGAGAATAAAGCTATACATATAACTTTTTTTTAGCCAAATTCAGAAAAAAGCACTGATTTAAACCCAGAATCAAGCACAGCGTCCGCCAGACTGCACATCAAATCCTCGTTAAATAGATGACGCGTGCGATGACGTCACTAAACAAGCAAAAATAGACCCAGGACTCGATTAGGTATTCATCAAAATACTTCATATTACAAGATGCGTATAATCAAAGCCGCGGCGGAGGTTTTTTTCGTGATTGAAAAAAAAGAAAGCAGGGAAGGAAAAAAATCCGCTTTTGTAGTTTTAATTCAGTGGTTTATTTATTTTAGAGTAATAACGAATAAATCATGTGTGATAAATGCACAGACGCACATACACACACGCACACGCACGCGCACACACACACACGCACACGCACACACACACACACAAACAAATGTATGTACAAAAGTAAATGCATGTTCTCTATTACTATCATTCATTATTTTCCTATAATTTTCTCCACATATAAACACACGAATATAAGAAAAAATTACAAAAAAAATAACAATACAAAAGCATCACATTTATTATTACCACTTCAGTTCCTACTTCATCCCCACTAATAAAACCTCCGTAAGAACACAAGACGAGAGACAAAAATAAATTCAAATGAACAAAAACAACAACAATAATCGCAAAAGCAACGCACCCAACGCCCCAATTCCCAGCATGCGCAACAACATGAACAAGAACATGAACATCATAATCCTGGGACGACGATTCAATTATCCCGAGCTACGGCCTGCTCCCCCCCTCTCCCCCCCCTCTCGCTTCTCGGCTGTTTCTCATTCCATTTTCTTGCGTCAACTTCTCTTCCTCTCTCTCCTACCTCGTCTTCGTCTTTGCCTTTGTCTTCTTCTTCTTCTTCTTCTTCCTCCTCCTTATTTTTCTTTGTCTTCTTCTTCCTCATCATCTTTTTCTTCATCCTCTTCCTTTTTCTTTCTCTTCTTCTTACTCTTTTTTCCTTTTTCCTTTTTTTTTCTTCTTCGTCTTTCTCTTTTTTCTCTTCTTCCTCTCACTCTCCTCCTCCTCCTCCGCCCTGTACACACACCGTTTCCACACAGTCGAAAGCATTAACACTTTTATGTTTTATTTAAATTTTTCTTAAACTAACAAAATTGTTTAAATTAATTCGTCTATTTATCATCGTTATCATTATCATCATTTCATCATCATCATCGTCATTATCACCACTTCATCATCATCATCACCGTTGTCATTATCATCATTTCATCATCATTATCATCGTTGGCATTATCATTATTTCATCATCATTATCATCACCGTTGTCATTATCATCATTTCATCATCATCATCATCGTTGTCATTATCATCATCATCGTTGTCATTGTCATCATTATCATAATTAAATCCCAGGCTCTCTCTCCCTGAGGAACCTTATGCTTAGTTCCACCTGTTATTTGCATCCCCATGAAATCTTGCCCCACATAATAATAATCAACGCTCATCCGCTGCTAAATAACACCGCGCAGACATGACGTAAGGGTGAAATGTGACGTAACCTTCGTCGGTGGTAAATTGAGACATGAATCACCCCCTACCGCTACTCCTTCCCCTTCCCCCTCCCCTCCCCTTCCCCCTCCCCCTCTCTCTTTTTCCCTACCACCAGTCTATTTTCCATACATTCACTCCTCTTTCCCTCGGCACATTCCCTCCTCCTTCTTTCCTCTCCCTCTTTTATCCTCTTCTCCTTCTCTCTCACTCTCTTTTGCTTTCGTGTTTTGTTTACAGTCTTTTACTGTCTCTGTCTGTCTGTCCGTCCGTCCGTCCGTCCGTCCGTCCGTCGTCCGTCCGTCCGTCCGTCCGTCCGTCCGTCCGTCCGTCGTCCGTCCGTCCGTCCGTCGTCCGTCCGTCCGTCCGTCCGTCGTCCGTCCGTCCGTCGTCCGTCCGTCCGTCCGTCCGTCCGTCCGTCCGTCGTCCGTCCGTCCGTCCGTCCGTCGTCCGTCCGTCCGTCCGTCCGTCGTCCGTCCGTCCGTCCGTCGTCCGTCCGTCCGTCCGTCCGTCCGTCCGTCCGTCCGTCCGTCCGTCCGTCCGTCCGTCCGTCCGTCCGTCCGTCCGTCCGTCCGTCCGTCCGTCCGTCCGTCCGTCGTCCGTCCGTCCGTCCGTCCGTCCGTCCGTCCGTCCGTCCGTCCGTCCGTCCGTCCGTCCGTCCGTCGTCCGTCCGTCCGTCCGTCTCTCTCTCTCTCTCCTCTCTCTCTCTCTCTCTCCTCTCTCTCTCTCTCCTCTCTCTCTCTCTCCTCTCTCTCTCTCTCCTCTCTCTCTCTCTTTCTCTCTCTCTCTCTCCTCTCTCTCTCTCTCTCTCTCCTCTCTCTCTCTCTTATTCTCGCTCTCGCTCTCTCTCTCTCTCTCTTTCTCTCTCTCTCCGCCTTTCTGTCTGTCTGTCTGTCTGCTTGCCTGCCTCGCTGTTAGTCTACATTTTCTGCCCGTCTGCATCTCACTTCCTCTCGTTCTGTCTGACTATCTGTCTGTCTCTTGTTCGCCGATGTGCACATAACACAAATACATGATTATGTGCCCATTCACATTCACATAAATAACCTAGAACTGTATGCATTTCCGGCATTTATTAAGATGTATATACTATACACACAAATAAAAAAATCGAGTGATCGCATGGGAATAGCCACAGTATATCCAGTCATTCGTGAAGCAAAAAAATATGTCATGGTGGCAACATTTGTACAGAAGTTGAGGGAGGAGGGAGGGGGGGGGGAGTACACAGTTGTTGTTGTTGTAGTTGTTTTTGCTGATGTTGTTGTTCATGGTGATGGCCATGTTGTTGTCATAACCGTAGCGCACACAGGAAATTGAGGAAAAGCAGAGTAGGGGAGTGGGAGAAAAGGATGAGGAAGAGGACAAAGAGGAGAAGGAGGAAGGGAAAGAGGAAGAGGCGGAGGAGAAGGAGGATTGGGAGGAGATGAGATGGAGGAGGAGGATGGGGGGGGAAGGGAGGAGGAGGAGGAGGCGAAGGATTAGGAGGAAAATGATGAGGATGAAGAGAAGGAGGAGGAGGATTGGGAGGAGGAGGAGGATTGGGAGGAGGAGGAGGAGGAGGATTGGGAGGAGGAGGAGGATTGGGAGGAGGAGGAGGATTGGGAGGAGGAGGAGGATTGGGAGGAGGAGGAGGATTGGGAGGAGGAGGAGGATTGGGAGGAGGAGGAGGAGGAGGATTGGGAGGAGGAGGAGGATTGGGAGGAGATGGAGATGGAGGAGGAGGATTGGGAGGAGGAGGAGGAGGAGGAGGCGAAGGATTAGGAGGAAAATGATGAGGATGAAGAGAAGGAGGAGGAGGATTGGGAGGAGGAGGAGGAGGATTGGGAGGAGGAGGAGGAGGCGAAGGATTAGGAGGAAAATGATGAGGATGAAGAGAAGGAGGAGGAGGATTGGGAGGAGGAGGAGGAGGAGGAGGAGGATTGGGAGGAGGAGGAGGATTGGGAGGAGGAGGAGGATTGGGAGGAGGAGGAGGATTGGGAGGAGGAGGAGGAGGAGGAGGATTGGGAGGAGGAGGAGGAGGAGGAGGAGGATTGGGAGGAGGAGGAGGAGGAGGAGGAGGAGGAGGAGGAGGAGGAGAAGGAGGAAGGGAAAGAGGAAGAGGCGGAGGAGAAGGAGGATTGGGAGGAGATGGAGATGGAGGAGGAGGATTGGGAGGAGGAGGAGGAGGAGGCGAAGGATTAGGAGGAAAATGATGAGGATGAGAAGGAGGAGGAGGATTGGGAGGAGAAGGAGGAGAAGGATAGGAGGAAAAGGATGAGGATTATGAGGACAAGGAGAAGGAGACAAAGGGAGGAGGATAAGGAGGAAAACGAAGATGAAGAGGAGGATAGAACAAACGAAAAGAAAAGGAGAAGACGGTGGACTGGTTGGAAAAATCACCAAGAAACTCCTGTAACTTTCCACGCGCCGAGGAAATCACTAATCTACCCCCTCCCCCTCCCCCCCATCCAAAAAGAAAGAAAAAAAACACGTAAATACCTCACCGACGACAACTGCCAATAACATCCGGTACTTTCTAAAAACACGACAAGAAAATAATAAATAAGAAGAATAACAGCGACAAAAAGAGGGAAGCCATCGTTAAGTCGCTTACGAAAGGTAAACAAAAGCGTCGAAGAAGGGGACAGTGTTCAATCCGGGGACAAAGAAGAACACACGGAGAACAGGGAACACAAGAACACACGGAGAACAGGGAACAC